ACGGTATGATCCGCCATGCGGTTCAATTCCGTCCCATCCGCCAGTGTCAGCTTGCATTCCGACCCTTAAGGTGGGGAAAATCCCAATGCATCCAAGCGTCAGGACAGTCTGTACTGACCGACTGATCCGTCACCATCCGAGCCTTGGCATGGCTTGACGCATGAAATCAAGCTCCATTGTGGGCCTTGCCTTCCGATTCCCTCAAAAGAAGGGATTTTAGTCCAGGTCGAGTGCCCAAAAGAAGCCAAGAGAAGCAGAAACCAGTATTTCCGCAGGGGATGTCAAACCTGACTACTTCTGAAAACCCAAGGGAATCGGTCTTTGGCAAGCCGGCCTGTCATTGCGCCTAAACCTTGCAAACTCCTTGGTCAAGTAAGCCCTCACGCTCTGACCATCAAACAGTGCCACTGCCGAAGCAAACACGTGATGCAACGGCAAGCAGCGGGCATTCACATGAAACTCAACCCATCCTGATCAGAATGTCACCCATGGCACGGCCATGGCAGTTGAGAAATGGGACTCAACCCTCTCACGCCAAGCATTGCGAGGCGTGAGCCGATGCTTTTCTGGCACCGGTTTCGCTTGTGTCCGCAAACAACAACAATACAAGTACCATCGACTTCAAACTATGCTTGGACATTGCAAGCATCAGTCCCGCAAAGCACCTGCTGTACTGTTGCTACTTGCTGTGCATGGACCATGACAGGACATCGTGACTGATAGCTGCCGACTTCCGCTCTCAACTCGACAAGTCGGCTTTCGTATGCGCCCTGTTCAGCTGTCTTCTCCACATAACTTTTCCCTTTCCCTGGTCACTGATCAGTCCAAGCTCACGCACATTTTTTTCCAAGGCTCCCAGGGGCCAAGCTTGGCATCAAACATCTCCTGCTCTTCAAAGCGCAGGAGGGCAGGCGAGCTCCGGCAGCGGGGCACGGCCTCACACACTTTAAGCGAAAATAAACCTCAGTTTACGTCCCAACGAGGACCCGAAATACAACTAGGTCCTCCAGTAGAGAGGTTAGAATAGGGGTACCCGATTCTTTTTTCTGTAGTCTATTTTCGTAAGGGAACCCTTCCCCCAAAAAAGGGGAGAGAAGGGCACTACTGGAAGACCTAAACAAACGCAGTGACCCCAATCGGTTTTGACGACGCGATGTTCAAAGAGAGAGGGAGACTTCAGGCGGCAAAATGGCTATACTTGCAATCGTTGATGCTTTTGCTCCGCTTTGTCGGCTTCTATTGGGTTCATCTGTTGTGAAAGCGCCAGTGTTTGTCAAGCACCGATGAAGAATAGAGGTCTGACAAGGTGCAATCAAGCTGAGCCATGATTTGGCTGCAATCGAAACCATTGATAGATATTGAGCTTCCCAGTAGGCATAGGTAGTTTGGATTGGTGCTTTAGGGAATAAGTTCCCATTTACCCACAAGAACCAGGGCTTCAAATCTGGAGACCAAAAAAACACCAATGTCCAAACCACCCCAGAAATGGTTCCCTGAAATATTACCCTCCCACCAACAAACATAGAACCTGTCCACTCGGGTCTTTGCCAGCAAAAAAGGGGCATGCCCCCCTATGTTCGGCGGCCGAAGGTCTTTGTTTATTCAAGATGGGTTTATGGTTGGCTTTGTCGGAAAAGAAAGGGACTCAATACGGTAGGTTTGGTGGCTTGGATTGGTGCGGCTTGGACTGCTCTGGCTTGGACTGCTGCGGCTTGGTCGATGGATGTTCTACAGTTCTGGCTTCTTGTGGCTTGCAATCTACTCAGCTTTCAAGACGGGTGGTTTGGATTGGAAATCGTGCCGGAGTGCGGTGACATGGTTTTACACTCAAACCAATGGGGTCGAGTTTCCAACCCATCCAAGCCACCAAGGGTTTTTTTGAGGAGCGTCTCACGAAGAAAAAAATCCCTCGCATGTGCCCAGTGCCCTCCTTAACGGCCAGAGACCCCCGCGTGGGAGAGATTCCTTCTCGGGGGTCCTCTTAACCCAGCGACGCCTAGACACACCTACCTCTACATATCACCCGAGCGAGCTTCGACATGATTTCTTGCTTGAAAGGACACCTATGAATCCATGTCCTCCGGTCTAAGCATCAGCGGCTGAAGAATCTCCAGCAACAAACCGTACATGCAACGCTTGAGCCCTTTTCGTTTACCTTGACCCCCCTCCGAGAAAAGACGCACCCACACTGTGTTTCAAGTGCCCTGGCTCGCCACAAAGTGTGAGCCATGTCACCCAATGGCCCACCACAAAGTAAACCAAGGTCGTCTTGCATTTCAACACCTTCTTTCTTTGAGGTTTCCTAGCTGTGGCCGGCTTCTTGAATAAGCCCGTATGTCTTTCCCGAAGTGACTCACTCGGACCTTCGGACCTTCGGACCTTCGGACCCTCGGACCCTCGGGCTCGGCGCGCCGATGCGCCAACGCGCCGACGCGCCTTGGCTTGCGCCAGCGGCGTCACCTCCACGTCCAGAAATGTATTTCGGCTAGTCACTTCAACTTCACCGTCGAAGAACGCGAGACGAAGGCAATGGCTCTCCTGCAGGGACGGCAACGAAAAAAGACAACAAAAAAAAATGCCGATGCCATCGGTGTTTGTTTCCTTTCAAAACGAACAAGAGACTGGGTTGTTCTCTGAGCAAAAGGCTTCAGGTCAAACATTTTGCAAAGCCATGTGATTCCAAAAAGTTGGGGCGATTCGGCACCACAGGCCAGCCATGAGGAAGGGTTCTCTGCAAAAAATGCGAGGCTGCCAACGCTTGGTACCGGCCTGCAACCCGGCGGAAAACTGGGTGTGAATTCATTCAGCTATGCAGATCATGTTCACTTTTCAGGTTCCCCAAAGCAAAATTCATGGCCCCTTTCTATGTTTCCAAGGCTCCCAGCCCTGCCGCCTAGCGATATCTAGCGATGACCGCCCCGGCCTGCATTTTGCGTAGCTCAAACTTGACGTGCCCGGTGTGAAAAGAGGTGCTGCTCAAAAACTGGAAGCCACACAGCCGGCGGATACGATTCGCTGACCTCGTTGCCAGACAGCCCCTTTTAGCTTCTCGACAAACAAGCAACTTCATCCTTCTCACTGCTGGCCTTAGTACAAGGGCTTCTGAGCACTGCGCGTCCCTGCTCTCTTCACACACGCACATTGATGGTCCAAGGCTTCAGCGGCTTTCAAGAAAAATCAGTGCTTGGGGCGGCCCAGCATCACCTGTCAGATCTCATAGTGTCTCCCTTTCAAAACTTTAGCATTAACAATTTCGACAACCAAGTGAGCAGCGACCAAAACTCCTACATAGCGACTGATGGTTACACCAATATTGGATAATGTAGATATAAGCCTTGCTCGAATGGCGAGGTGTATCGGTTGTCATGTGCACAGTTTGACCTCAGCGCTCTATGGTACAGACAACCGTATTCGTAATTAAGAGCAAGCAAGGACAAACACCCAGCACGTCGCCAGCTCCGGGTTTGGCAAGTGCTGTTGCTGTGACCAATGCTCCCAAGGTATGAAGCAAACCTGTGCCGGTCTAGCTTCCCCCGCACACATCAGCTATCGTGCTTGCGAGGTCATGGAAAGGTCCTAGCCAAGGCAAAGAGAGCCAGACGTCCAACGTGGCGCGCGAAGCGCCTTGGGAGCACGTGGCGCCACTACGCAACTGGTTGCAGAGGGTGAGGCCGGTGTTTTGCTCAAACAGCTTCGGGATACACGTGCGCAGCTTGTAGCGCATACAACGTGTTCCGCGATTCAAATATGTCCAGAACTCACATCTACCCTTTGTTGATCCAGCTTGTTGATCCAGCAATTGTGATACACTGCGTTCAGGGCAAGTTGTAGCATGGATCCATTTGCTTGTATCAACGCCCAGGCTGCCAAGGCAAATCAGACAACCATGTTGTTCGCGACTTGCTGCGTGTCTTGAGTCGAGGGGGTCAGTGCACTTCGGGCCTCAGCGTGGAAGACCTCGGCGGAGGGACTGTGTCATTTGTTCGGCAGGCGGCGTGCAGGTTCTATGATTATTTTTGGAGAGGGTACGTGCGCAACGCGTTTCACCTTTTGCATGTGTGGCGCGGCTATCACATGCCAGCCTTGAACATTTTCTCCTTGCTCTTCACACCTTCGTTGCTCTTTAGGCGCGCCGCCGAATTAGCAACCAAAGAAAAGTCCGTTTTGCCCGCAGGAAACAAGCCACTCCTCAGTTATGAAGCATAGTCCGCGCGGAGACAGAGACAGACAGACAGACAGAGAGAGAGAGAGAGAGAGAGAGACAGAGGGAGAGAGAGAGAGAGAGAGAGAGAGAGAGAGAGAAGAGAGAGAGAGAGAGAGAGAGAGAGAGAGAGAGAGAGGCAGAGAGACAGAGAGAGAGACAGAGAGAGAGAGAGACAGAGAGAGAGAGAGAGAGAGACATAGAGAGAGAGAGAGAGAGCTTCAGGTTGGCAAATGGCTCCATGATTCTTGGTGGATGTGTGGGCACAGCCCCATGGTCCCTCAACTTTCTTGCTCCCCATGGGGAACTGTATGTGCACGGCACCAGCGCGCCAGGCAGCGCCCGCAGCAGCGGCGCAGCAAAATAGAAGCGCCAAACATGCGAAGAAGGCAACCTGCGTGTCATTCTAAAATTGCCCTTTTGGAATCGGATTTGGCCGCTGCTCAAATTGTTCCTGCGTTCTTTTCCGGTAGCCACCCAAACCGAGTCAGCGGCCCCCCAAGCAAACAAACATGCTTGAGTCTAGCCTGTATTGTTTGAACCTTAAATCGGCATGTCAGAACCGACAAAACATGGCTGGCTGCCTCTACACCCCCGGCCAAACTCCCACAAAAAAGAAAGAACTGGCCATGGGTCAAAAGCCCGTACCCCCAGTGAACATCCCAATCCCCACTAGGTTCTAAGATGGGTGGTGAATTCACCTACCAACCAAAATGGTACCATTGGTTTTGACCCACCGCCAAATGCCAAAAGCGGGCGGCTCGAAGACTCTCATCTGTGTTCAGTCTCAGACTCCGGCTTAGGGCGGGTATGGTGGCACGAGGAAAGCTTCGCTCCTGACGAATCATCGAATCCCAGTCTTTCGGGTTTCTCCAGTTGGCCGCAAGCAAGGTGGATTTCTCAAGTCTCAGATCTTGAGACTCTCCTAAAAAAGCTTGAGCGAGACCCAGCGCCCAGCGCTTGGAATATTCTTTACGAATGCTGAAAGAGGCCAGGTCTGCGAAAAACACGGTCAGAACAACTCGGGAAAGCTAGTCCTCGCAAGCGGCCCAGGTTCTACAAGTCACGGACAATGACAATTCGGTGCCTTTTGCAAAGACCTTGCTTTTCGGGTCCTGCTGCTGGTTTTTTTATTTGTGAGGCTGGTTTCCAGACAAACCACAATACCAAACCCAGCGACACACGCCTCATGCGCCATCAAGGACTCTCTATGAGAATGGTCCAAGGGGTTGTGTATCCTTCTGGCTTCCTTATGGATGGGAAACCGACAAAATGAATCAGAATCAAAACCCGGTAGTAAAATGGTCGTAATCCCAGAATCATGCTTCTAGAATTAGGAAGGCGGATATTCGCATCTTTTTGTTTATGGTTGGGAGTATCCCTTACTATAGCCTTCATCTACCCGGCGTTTTGAGCAAGTGGCTCACCTTCAAACACCACCAAATACGCCCTGGCTTGCCGGTTGATCATTCCCTGGAGTTGTTCTCGCCCCTGACAACTCAGACTCAGCTCCAAAAAGCACGGCTACACCTTTGCAACAGTCGCCACCTTTGGATAGGCTGGAAAGGAAGCAACCCCGCCCGTAGCCCTCTGGAAACAATTTTGAATGCAAAACGTGGTTTCTGGGTTCCGGCGATAATTTGGAGATCCCAATAAGAACTCCAAACTGCTGCCGAATATGGGTCTCCCTTGCTTATCCCTGATTTCCTCTAACTTTGGCTTCCAGCTGGACCAGGGGTTCAATCCAATCCTACTCGTTCGTTTTGCTTTCTTTAAAAAACGGAGTTCCATGGTCTCCCTTGCGAAACGACACACCATCGCGCCTGCGGCTGAAAGGCCGCCCCATGATCCTCTACCTCCCGGTTTCGATCGCTGGGTTTACTTGTGGCAGCACCGAAGATGGCAACGAGGTCCCCTTCAGTTGCAAACCACCAACCAAAAGTGGGGGTTGTTCACCTGTTTCTTTCTGCTTTGCTTTTAGAAACCAAAAGGGCTGTGGAAAAAACAACAACGAGAAAAACGCGATTCAAAGTGGTCGACCAGAGGGTGTTCGAGGGCCGCAAGGCCACACCCATCAAGTTGGGGCAAGGGGACAGTTTGAACACAGGGTGTGTTCTCATTAGGGAACCTCTGATGCTTGGTTTTGAAGAAAGACCAAAAGGACAACCACCATGTTGGGGCGTCCCCTAAATAAAGACATACCTGTTTTTGCTCAAGAACACGTCGCATCTTTAAACCATGTCGTTTGAACAGTTGAAGACCAGTGCAAAGCACTTTTGTGTATCATTTGAGCATCGTGAACATCCTCAAAAGCACCACACTATTTTTTCTTCAATTGGGGATACATTGCAAGTGGGCCAGGGTACTTTGTCTTGGGGGCAGGTCACTTGTTGGAAGCAGGTTGCTGGATCACCCTTGGGCGACGTCTCACATGCTCGCAGTATGGGAGGAAAGCATGGCACCAGTCCCATGGTTTCAAGCACCTTGTGGTTAGCTTGACCTCCAGTTTGCGAGTTATCAGCCATAGCCATAGGCCGGGCAACGGAGTTGGGTATGCAGGTGAACTGTCCGCACAGCGATTTTTATCCACCAGAAATGATCCGGATTCCCCTCTTACCGGCGGTGTACCTGTCCTGGGCTCCCAGAGGTATCCCCCAAGGCTGAAACAAGGGGCACGCGGAGGCCAAGAAGCAGGTGAGAAAAAAAAGAAAAAAACACATGTGACGCGCAAGACCGCGACTTCTGACCTCCTCCATTAGAAACGTTAGAATAAGGCTACCAACTTGTTTCTGTCTATTTTAGTAGGGTAAGGAACCCTCCCCAACCAAAAAACAAGTTGGTAAAAAAGTTGGTGCTACTGGGACCTAGGCTACGGAGGGCAGGGTCGACGTACGTCGACGTCGCCGTCCGTTCCGTGCCTTGGTGAAGGCCACGGCCCCTGCGACCTGAAGTTACACGGCCCAGGGCCTTCTTGGCATGGCAGAGGTGGGTGCAACCGCGGGGGGGGGAGTTTTCTCAAGAAAAGTGGACCACTTCGGTTGGTTTTAAAGGGAATGCAACCGAGGGGTTCTCAAAAAAAGTGGACCCTTTAGGTGGTCAATGTGGAGGTTTGCGTCGGTCAACACAACGGCATCAGGGAAGACATGCTTGACAGAATTACAGCCCATTTCGGGGTGGTTTTTGAAGGGAAACCAACAGTCAAACCTCCATTTTGGGTCCTGGTCCGGCTGTTCTACACACCCATACGTGTCCGGTGAAAGTGAAAGATACACATAGTTTCAGACATCCATTCCCAAGGCGCTGCATGTACAACTGCATTGCACATCGCCTTTCCAGATCCGCTGGGTGGCGGAAAGGACGTAAAAAAAGAAAAAAGGCCCGTGAAATGGACATGAAGAAGCCTTCTGCAACCTCCAGCTGGCCGGCTTTCTGGCTCGGGGCTCCTCATATCTATGTTCAATCATCACTCCAAAAGAAAGCTCCCTGAAACTTGATACAAGAGATGTGCAAAGTGGCTTAAAGGCTTAGCCTTGTCAAGCCTCGGTGGAGGTCCCAATGTTCAACGGCATGCCACTTGCATTCAAGATGTCCACAAGCAGCCCTCAAGATGGTTTTACACATGCAACAAAGCCGTACGTGGGGGATGCCCTTGTTTGAGGGTTGGCAAAAGGGGCAACCAAAGCAACACGGCCCATTCATAGGTGCTTCCTTCTTAGGGCAAATAAAGTTAGAATAAGGGTACCCGTTTCTTTTTCTTTTCTGTAGTCTATTTTAGCAGGGGAACCGAATCTCCCAACCAAAAAAGGTCTGGGAAAGGGCACCTAGCTGGGGCACTACTCTGGGCCCATTTCGGGAGGTTTTCCAACTCCCATCATGGCGGTTTCTTCCACCAGCTTCTCGGTGCAACCAGTTCCCCAACCACGGGCACCCACTGAGTTGGTTTTACAACTTGGCCCACGAAAGGGGGTACACGGCAAAAATTCTGTGCTCTGACTCTTCATATCTACCCTACATGGCTTATTACTCATGTTTGTTGGGGGAGGCGGGCCGAAAAAAAAACGGACATGGAGGCGTTCCCCCCTGCGAGACAAAAAGCAAAAACTCGGCGGCCCTGCAAAAACCGCCGCTTCGTTTTTTATCCGAAGCTGCCAGACTCGCAGGGCAAAGGGAAACCGCAAGAAGCAAACATGAGAAGGCAAAGGGAAAGGGAAACCGCAACACAGTCTCGAGCAAAGAGAAGTTTTCCATGTTTTTGAAGTGTGGTTCCTGGGTTTCCTCACTTCCAGACTTGCTTGACGTTGGGCTTGGAGCAAAAATTTCAAGTTTTAGCAGGTAAGCGCGGATCTCAACCACTAAACCACAATAAGCAACAACATGTAAAATGGTTCCCGACAAACACCCAAACAGCGTCCAAACGTTGTGCTTGTCACCAAAAGGCTTTCCTTTTTAAAGTACAAAGTCCAACTCGGGAAGTGATAAAATGGTGTTCATCCGCTTGAAAAAGCTACGAACCAGCGTACTTTCCCGTAACAACTGCCCCAGTCCAAAACCCCAGGAAGTGAGCTTTGAGAACCAGAAACTGCCAATCAATCCTGGGCTGTCTGTTTTCAGAGCCCCTCCGGAAAGTTTCATCAAACTGTGGGCCAACTTTGTTCTGAGCGGTTTTGTATTACACCCTGGGATTACACCCTTCGGAAATGACCCATGGTTCCAAATAACAAGGTCTTAGCCGGAAATGTGCCTAAATGGGGTCAATGCCCAGTGGGTGTATTCCCAGGGTGCAATACACAAACCCTTAGACTTGGACACCCAACCACAAAAAAAACAACGCGACAAAGATCTAAAAACCAACCGAGGAACCGGACGCTGGGAGCCTCAGAAACTAGGGGTCCCCTAAAACCGATCGATCAGGTTCCTTTGGCTTCCCTTTACACCACCCCCAGATCTAAAAAAGTCCGGGACTCGAAATCAAAAAACAAATCCGGCCCCCACATTTGGCCAAGCCGATTTTTTATTTTTTTTAACAAAAAAAGAGAGAGAAAGAAACCCATCGTCGAGCCCTCGACGTGTGGGTAACGTCGCCCTCGACGCCCGTGAATAACGCGCCGCCCGCGATGCATCCGGCCCGGCGCTTGCGCCGCTTGCGCCGAGGCGCGGCCATGGTGTCCCTCAGCTCCTGCCAGCTGCAGTTCCCGGGCCTCCGCTCGATTCGCGCTCCGCGCGATCCGCTCGAAGGGGCGGTGTGGCCCCTGGTTTTTCGGGGGACCAAAAGGCAACCTATTCTGAAAGTGTTCCATTTGCTTATAGGCTTATAGAATGTTTGGTAATTTCCCCCAAAAGGCGTGGTTTTCCTTTTGCTTCCCAGGCCCTCAAAAAAGACACACACAGATCGGAAATTCGGGCCGGGCCCACAGCAAAAAAAAAACTGAACGGGTCACCCGTTCGGGATGCTACCATTTGCTCAAGCCTGGAAAAAATAGAAAGGTGTCCTGCAGTGATAGACTTCCTTTAAAACCAACAGGGGAAAATAAAACAAATATTCTATAAGCGAATGGAAGGATGTCAAAATACGGCAACTGTTTGACTGCCTGTTGGTTTCCCATTCGAAATATCGCAAGGGATACGAGCCTCAACCAAGGACACACCCATATGCCATATGCTCCATTTTGAAATCGAGGTACCAGGCTAGATATGGGGCGTATAATGAAAGTGTTCCCTCTTGAGAGAAGCTGCGCTCAAAGTCCATGTGGTTCTGCATGTATTGACGAAAGGCCCATACTGAACGCTCATTGTTCGTCTGGCCAGGGATCGGATTATTCCTGGCCAGAAGTCGACCATAACCTCATGTCCTTTGTGGGGGGTCAGAGTTTCCACCCGGCCTGGTTGCGGTGCAATCCGGGGCAAAGTGAGGGTCAGAAGTGCGCTTTCTTGTGTGTCGCCGAGCAATGTGGAAGTGACCCTAGGACATCAGTACTCGTTTGCCCGTTATGTCTAACGCAACCATGCTGATTGTGAATCTTCAAGGGCTCGCCAAACCTAGACGCTTTCTTAGCCTTTGATTCGGCCATTCGCACTTTAGCGTGGTGAAATGAAGTCAGCGGCACAATTCCCTTCACGCCGGTATGTGAAGGACATCAACATTGTGGACCCCGTTTTGGTTGGCGTTCGAAGAAAAGAGGAAACCAGCCATCAATTGGAGGGGACCAACACCTATTTGGCCGAAAAAACATCCATAAAAAGGCCCAGGACAATACACACCCTCCAAAGAAAAGCCATTCAACCCTCCAAAAGTGGACGAATTTTATACACCATCCAGAGAAAAGCCATGCCACCCGCCAAAAGTGGACCAATTTCTCAGCCATTCAACAACACCCTCCAAAAGCGGCACCTAGCGATTTCTCAGCCCCAACTCCCGTGCTGACGCGCCCGGCAAACCCATGACCAAGACCTTGGTCCCGTCCTTTGAGGTCAAATCCGCCTCCGCATCTGGAGGTCCCCGGCACGAAACAAACAATAGGGGACCTTTTTGGCGAAGATTCTCTGCAGGAGAAATGTCTGGCCACTTTGGAGGTAGTTCCAACTCTCAAAATTCAGAATTTGCCATTTCTCAGAAGGAAACCAAACCCCAGAACCCTCCGTGGATTTCCATGGGAAGAAAGACAATTGGCACTGCTTTTGGGGGTTGCCCCCTCCAAACAGAAAAGAAGAGTCGCCTGACGAAACCACCAGGGTTGCTCCCAAAACGCCTCCCAAAGGGGAAGCAAAAAAAAAAGCCACGGGACATCGCAGCGTGCGCCGGTTAACAAAACGCCCACCGCCTGGCCTCCCGAAACCCGAAAAAACCCATGAGGGGATGGCAAGGGTGAAGGATCGGTACCCAAGAAACTCCTAAAAACAGCTCAGAGACCAAGAGGTGAGGATCTTGCCATGTGCCTCTGGCCAGGGGAACACACGAACAGCAAGCATGTCCAGTTTCTACAAACGCCAAGCCGTTGCCGCAAGGCGTGAGCAAACCAAGCGCCAAACCCACCCGACGACCTTACCCGATGCCAAACATGATTTTGCCTTTCCCAGCGTCCTTCCTTAGCCAAGCCGAAGCAAACCCAAACCCAAGCAAGCCAATCCTTCATGGGGGCTGGGAGAAGAGGGGAGGGGGAGCCGTATAAGCCCTTATTAGGCCCCTAGTAAGGCCTTATTTGAAGCTTATGAATCCTCCATTGCCCAATGGCCTCACTCAGTCACTCCTCTGCGGATTTTAAATTTCTAGTCTGAAATCCTTGCCTCCCCTTTAAGATCTGGGCCCTTGGCATCTTTGAACGTTGGACGGATGGTCTGCCAGAACCCTTTGCTCTGCTTCGATTCTGGAGGATACCAAAAACCAACCCGTGGATTTCCAGGTGAGAAGAATTGGCAATCGTTTTTATGCCTAATTTCAAAGGCTCACTTGCCCAAAGGACCCAGAAATGAAAGGTTAACCTTTTGGGGCCATGACTAAAACTAGACCAAAAAGGAGAAACTAAAAGGTCAAAAGGTCGGCTTTGGGCAACTGAGAAGGGGTTGCCCCCTTGCAAAAAGAGTCGAGGATTTGCACCTGGAGGTCTGGAGGTCTGGCGGTCTGGGCGAGGCTCCCAAAAGTTCCCCCTTCACACCAAAAGTTGGAAACACGCACGGGAGACAAGTACTGAGAGGTTTAATTCCAACCAAAACGGGTTAAACATGGGGAGCCCTGCCCTGGGGAACACTGCTTTTTCCCCCGGTGCAGCGCTTCTCGGCTCTCGAGAAAAAAACAACACAAAACAAAACTGCTCACATACACAACGCCAGGTGTGTGGCTGTGGGAAAAAAAACTGTCACCCCTTTTTGGTCCTTGGTAGGGTTGGCTTCTTTTCCTTTGTGCTGGGCTGAAACCAGCAACATCGTGACATCCGTGTCCACAACGCCCAGTGGATCTCCACGGGGAACAAACATGCCAGTTGGTTGGTTGGTTGGTTGGTTGGTTGGTTGGTTGTTGGTTGGTTGGTTGGTTGGTTGGTTGGTTGGTTGGTTGGTTGGTTGGTTGGTTGGTTGGTTGGTTGGTTGGTTGGTTGGTTGGTTGGTTGGTTGGTTGGTTGGTTGGTTGCCGATTTCAAAGGGTTCCCCCCTCCAAAAACAGAGTTCAAGAAAGGATTTGCACCTGGTCCAGCCCTTTGGCTGGGCCAGACTTAGACACCCTGCACAAGTTAAGCTTGCTGGTTGAAAGGACACTGAAGGACACCCAAAAGAGAAGGAACCCCAAAAAGGAAACCCGAATGAAAGACACTGAAGCTTCGCTTCTGAACCGTCTGCAAGCTTACATGTAACTCGCACTCCCACTAGCATGGCCTGACAGTGTGTCCCTCCACGAGAACAAATTTTCTTCCAGGTTCGCTCAATGCCCTGTACCCCCACGAACCCAGTGGAGCATGTCTCAAAGCCAGTTCCGAATGTGGATTTGCACAAGTGCGAGAGGGGTAAACATGCCGTGCACCCCTAAGCTTGAGCAATGCCCACGAACAAAGAAACGGCCTCCAACGGCCGTTTCTAATGCATCCACTTGTCTCCAACAGCCAAGTTAGTGAGGCTAAGCGACATAGGTGTCCTTTTAGGGTAAATAGATGGCCCTACTAGATGATTAAACCACCAGGTAAACCAGGGCCATCTATTTTTCCACCAAAACAACCAAAAAGGACACCTATGGTAAGCGATCTGGAGAACCCTTCGGCCTTCACTAAGAGCTGCTGGCCCTGCATGCTGAGCGACAGCTGCTCCGCCAGAATCGCGCTCTCCGGGCTCTCGTAGCGCACCTGCCCGGATTCAGCGAGACCCGGATTCCCACTGACCAAGGAAACGACAGGAAGGGGTGGCACAGGGAAAACGCGCGGTTTTTGGTACAACAAGGGCGCCAGCGGCGCCAACAAGGGACTTTTTTCGGGGAAAAGGTTGACCACTTTTACTGAACTTATCAAACAACAAGTGAACATGGGGGCCGAAGACTCCATTGTCAACATGTTGCGCACCCAAAAGACACCCTCGCAAAAAGAACCCTGCAGAATGGACACATGGGCATCCGCCATGATCGCAATGCCATGGGGCAAAGCATGCCAAGTATCTGGAATGCATGCTGGATACAACCTCCAGCCAATCTCTCCAAACTCCCCTTTTCAAGATCATCCCAATAGGACACCGACTTTGAATTGGCCCAAAAGGTGACGCTTAAAACCACTAGAAAGGAACATGTGGAGAGCTCTGTCCCACTTAATCGGATTCTGCCAACCGGTCTTTCAACAAACACGCCGGCTTGGAAAGAACAAGATTGGCTCATACACCGCTGGAAAAGTTGCTTGATTGAGGGCACCCACCCCCACACATCACTCAGGTGAGGATGGACCCGCAAAATGATCATGTTCCATGCTCTGTTGAGTCTAGTTCTCTCGACGACCCTGTCCAAAAACGAATTGGGTCCAGGAGGACCGGTGAAGCAAAATGGGAGGGTCAAGCAATGATTTGGGCGGTTCCACACGCAACAAAACTTGGACTGCCTCTCGGAAAGTGGAGGAGCAACCATCATGAGCCAACTGCTGATCTTCATGGAACCCTGATTTTTTTTTAAAATCCCTTCCTATCGCATGCGGACTCGTTCTTTTTTTTTTTTTTCTTTTTAATTGTATCCTTAAGGTTGGTTTTTGTAAGGCCACCAAAAGGAACACCGAGATCCACGTGTTTCGGTCCCAAGTTTGACAGCCCGTGCATGCCCATCTGGGGCCCTGCCTCGCCCACCGCCTGAGCACGGGCGCTCGAGACCCGATCCGTCGATCCGCAGCCCGGCGCTGGCGGATTTTTACTTCATGAAAGTGTGGCACGAGTGTGAGATACCTTCAAGTTCACCTGAAACCAAAAAGAGGGTCCGATCATCAAAAGAAGTGTGTGTCCTCCAAGGATGTTTTTGTGGGGTTCCAGATTGGGTCATGGAGTCTTAAATCTCTGCGAGTTCTCATTTTGGCAGAAGAGCGGCGCAATCGCGCTTTCCCGGGAACTGTTAGCCTGCCGCCCGCCAACCCTCACCTTGCCTATCCTGACAACCCAAACCCTCCCAACCCTCCCAACCCTCCCAACCCTCCCAACCCTCCCAACCCTCCGCTCCCAACCCTCCCAACCCTCCCAACCCTCCCAACCCTCCCAACCCTCCCAACCCTCCCAACCCTCCCAACCCTCCCAACCCTCCCAACCCTCCCAACCCTCCCAACCCTCCCAACCCTCCCAACCCTCCCAACCCTCCCAACCCTCCCAACCCTCCCAACCCTCCCAACCCTCCCAACCCTCCCAACCCTCCCAACCCTCCCAACCCTCCCAACCCTCCCAACCCTCCCAACCCTCCCAACCCCCTCCCAACCCCCCTCCCCCGAACCCGCTCAATACCCCCCAACCCCCCACCATAACCAAAAACGTCTACTTGCACCTTCCGCCGCTTTCCCCTTCCCCCCTTCGGGATCCCGGCGCTGGCGCGTTGGGCCTGGGTAGGGCGCACCTGGCGCTGGCGACCAAGGAATTCAACCCAGCTTCTCTTTTGGAGCAACCCAAGACCCCGGCCAGGGATGGTCACAACTTTGGGACCCTTAGTCTCCTTTTTGGCGCTGAAACGGGTCCAAACAGGAACCGACCATTTCTGTTGACACCACAAGTCTACCTCAGGACCTTGGGGTCAAACCATGGAGCCCCTTGGTTCCGGCATCTTGCTCCTCCCGGCGCGGGGCAGGGCCTTCCCGTCTGCCGCGCTTGCAGCCGCGCTTGCCGCCGCGCTTGCCGCAAGCGCCGCACTTGCAGCCGCTTGCCCGCCTCGCAAATCGGATGCGCCAAATGGGATGCACGAGCCGCTCCAAAACGGGCTATGTGGCCATGGCTCAAAATCCAAATCGTACCCCCAGTGAACATCCGATTCAATCCCCACTATAGACTAAAATGGGGGGTGCACCTACCCCAAAACGGGCCATGTGAGGAAACCAAAGGCCCCACAAGACAGGTGCTTGGAACTGGGTTCTGATCGAAGGGTGGCGAACCTTTCAAAAGGGAATAGGGGGCAGGGAATAGGGGGCATAGGGGGGTTGCACGTCCAGACTCGGGGGTTAGGTGTTTGGAACCGGGTTCCGATCGAAGGGTGGCTAGGCTACATGTGGCCAAAACAGTTTACACATCTGGTTACCCCTGCGTCTGCTGTTCATTTGGCAGTCATTGCTCCAATCTGGCACATCTCTGCTGGCTCTCTCTCTCTCTCTCTCTCTCTATTTCTTTCTTTCTCTCTTTCTCTCTCTCTCTCTCTCTCTCTGTCTCTCTCCTCTCTCCAACCATCAAGTCACCTGATGCTGAACATGATACCTTGCTTGTAAGGCTTGCAATGCTAAATCCGTTTAGATTAATAGACATCTGCAATGGTGCATCATGAGACAAACCGTCCAACCGCATGAAGAGCCACGTTTCCTCTTTGGCAGTGAAGTTGAGATCCAGTTGGAAGCACATGCAATGCACACACACACACACAACAAAATACACACACGTCCTTCCTGATGTCATTCGCCTGCTTACCGGCGCTAGGGCAACGTGAAACGAGTAGTGCCAGTGTCCTATGCACAAAGGAAAACAATCAATCCATCACCCGCCTGAAAAGCTCGCATACGCCACTGGCCCGATGCGCTGGAAATGGTCCTGCCAGGGGCAAAGTTATTTCCTTGGCGCAGACGACCCGAGAAAGGCCATGTCTGTCCACGTGCGCCATAGCCAAAACTCCTTGTGTGGTTCTGGTCATTGCTCCCTTCTCGGAATCCCTATCATTGTCTAGAACAGGGGAGTCGTTTGACTATGGCACGCGCGGCAGGAACTCTAGAGCGCAACATACATCTGCATCCTAGCAACACTACAATCCTTGTAACAAATCCCCCCCATGTTTGGGGCAGGGTACGCTTCTCAGAAGGCGGGCAAAGGGTTTCCGAACCCGTACCGCTCTCCTGGACTTGCTCTTTTGTCTTTTGCCCCACCATCGGGAATTGAACAACAAGGAGATATCTATCTATGTAGATAAGGAGACAGTTATCCACTCATCCTTGTGATGCAGGGGGCTCCGTTGCTGCTACTTTGTCCCCGTAAAGCAAGCGGGATTCCGTTCCACCACCACGCATGTTTGCGTCCAAAAAGTGGGGACAACCATTTGGAGGGCATCCACACACACCCACCTCAATTACAAACAAAACTAGGCTCCCCAACCAGAACAGTGCTCTGCAGAAAACCCCAAAATCAATATTGAAACTGGGGCCAAATCGGCTATATCTATGCAAGTTGCCAAACACGAAACGAAACCTTTTAACAGATTCCAACACGGACTAAAACCAAGCCCCCCCCCAACAAAAAAAATCGCGCCACCACCACCCGAAACGACATAAACCACCCAGCACCCCCTCGAAAAAAAGGAAGACGAAAACACCAAAAGCGACAAAGTCAACCGCAAAAACATCCCTCCGTGCAAAAACAAGAGAAACACGGCAAAGGTGCCCCAGGCTGATTTGGGCAGTCAGACAATTCCAAACTGACAAGAGGGGAAATGAGCGTGAACCGCGCAAGACAACAGTGCGATGATGAAACAGATTGTGCCCTGAAAGGCCTAACAAAATACTATGCGTCTGGAGCTGGGTTGCAAAACAAAGCTTTGACAACACTTTTGCGGTCTCTGAGTCCACTCCAGTACCAACGCGAAGCTGCATCACAGCACACGGTGCAATCAGCGCCCCAGTTCTGGGATCGCGGCTTCAAGCTCGTTTGCCCACAAACCTCTGCTAGTCCACTCTACCACAAAAAGAAAAGAGAAAACAACGCAACGCAAAAATAAATATCCCCCACGGCCCACCTCCCACCAAAAAATAAAACACAAACACACCCCACACACACACACACACACACACACAAAAAGAAAAAAACACCGCACCGCCCCTCTTTTGCCTCTCCTCCCCCCCCCCCGCTTTTGCCCTCTCGCCTTCAACTCCTGCCAGCTGAAACTGGGTTGCAAGCCGGTGACCCGCACCTTGGACCTCGATTTTGCGACAAACGAACCGCCTGCCCACGAGCCACGAAAAGGGGACGGGGAGGTGGCAGTCCGCTTCCCCCCCCAAACCACCTGGAGCGATCCAGGTGCTTTTTCGCGTTTTTCCCATCCACGAAAAACCATCCAAAAGCCAGCAGTGACTGAAAAAAGCGGCAACTTGGCTATCTAGGCAGTGGCTATCAGGGAGAAAAAACGATTTGCCTCACTGGTTTTTGGGTCGTGAAAGGAGCTTCCCCCCCGAAAAAACAAGGACAAAGGATGGGGAAACCAAGGAGGGGAAACCCTGGGTGGCGGGGGGACACCAAGGGTACCGGCCCACATGGTGCCAAAAGGGATAGGACATGGGAAACGAAAAAAAACATATTCAGTCATGACTAGCATTTTTCGGGGAACCCCTTTTTCTGCGTAATTACCAGGAAAGCAACAGGAACTTGTTTGGGGGGCCAAGGTCCATTTCCTTTGGTTTGCCCGTGAAAGCAAATCAGCTGCTGGGAAACAAATGCTGGTTTTTGTTGGGGGAAACCGTGGCCAAAATGGTTTGGGTTTCTGTCCGGTGTCCGTCTAAGCCAGCCCTCCAAACACAAAGCTCGCTTCTTCTCGCGAGGGAAACCATTGCATTGTTGCAAGGTTTCCAGGCAAGCTCAAGGGAAACCAATCTAGATGGTGGGCCTCCAAAATAGGGTTGTTTCCTTTTGGCTTCCCTTCAACGCCAACCGAAATCAGGCCCCCCACAAAAAACAAACCAACAAACACACGCGCATGCATTTTTGCAGGGGGGGGGCGCCAACTCGTTGGGCAAGCTGGAAAGGGACACCGAACAGAAACCACCGGTTTTCTTTGGGGGCGGGTTGGGGTTCCGGCACCTGTGCTTTTCCTTCCGAAACTGGTTGAACTGCTCGTGGTTTTTCATAATGTGAGGGATAAATTAGTTCCCCAGGCAGGGCTCGACACCTGGAAAACAAACACTTTCCGAAAGGGAGGGCAGGTGGAAGCTGCCAGCCATTGACTTGGCAAAACCATGTGTCACACTTTTGTTTAGATAAGGTCGGTTTGTGCAGACCGTGTTCTGCTGCCCAGCTTCCTTGTTGGGCATGCTAAATGTTTGTTTGCGGAAGTCGTTTCAACGGAAAAATGCTTGTGGTGTTATTCTGTTGGGGGGGAGGATGAGCAGCAACTAAGGAGCCTGGAGCTGAAGGCTCGTGCGTGCCCCTGCATGCTAAGAAGGTGGGTCCAAGTCAAGTAGATGATCATTGTAGTTACTTTTGTTGCCAATTCAGCATCTGCCAGTGTGAATCCATAGGTTTTCCCCATGCATATAAACGCAGGTCATAGCCCAACCTGATCTTAGAGCCATTTTCAAAATTTGGTGCGTGCACACACATACACACGTAAGCATGGAATATCCGCCCACCACCCATCAAAAGGGGCTTTTGATTAGGGGGTAAGCACCATCGATACAAATCGCTGATGATGCACCTGTTCGAACGGAGCGTTTCAACATCATGCCCTGGATATCAGCTAGACCACCCTGATTTTCTGCCGACCTGCATTGACCTGGGGGTGCCGGAATGCAACAAACAGGTGATTGGTGATTGCTTTTTTTGGTTTCTGCGTATTTGGTTGTGTGCTTGCTTGTTTGTGTTCTGTGGCTGTTGGCTTGTTTGCTTGTTATTACTTGCTATGGATCCATGTTCTGAGTGGTACTTTGCGATTGCTGTGTTGCATCGTTGTGCTCACGCGCGCGCTGTGCATGTGTGTGTGTGTGTGTGTGTGTGTGTGTGTGTGTGTGTGTGTGTGTGTGTGTGTGTGTGTGTGTGTGTGTGTGTGTGTGTGTGTGTGTGTGTGTGTGTGTGTGTGTGTGTGTGTGTGTGTGTGTGTGTGTGTGTGTGTGTGTGTGTGTGTGTGTGTGTGTTGTGTGTGTGTGTGTGTGTGCGTGCGCGTGTGCGTGCGCGTGCGCGTGTGCGTGTGCGTGGGTGTGTGGGTGTGTGGGTGTGTGGGTGTGTGGGTGTGTGGTGTGTGGGTGTGTGGGTGTGTGTGTGTGTGTGTTTGTGTGTTTGTGTGTGTGTGTGTTTGTGTGTGTGTGTGTGTGTGTGTGTGTTTGTGTGTGCTCGTGTGTGTGTGTGTGTTTGTGTGTTTGTGTGTTTGGGTGTTTTTGTGCGTTTGTGTGTGTTTGTGTGTCTGTGTGTTTGGGTGTTTTTGTGCGTTTGTGTGTGTTGGTGTGTGTGTGTGTGTGTGTGTGTGTGTGTGTGTGTGTGTGTGTGTGTGTGTGTGTGTGTGTGTGTGTGTGTGTTTGTTTGTGTTTGTGTGTGTGTTTGCGTGTTTGTGTGTTTGTATGCTTGTGCGTGTGTTTGTGCGTCGTCTGTTTGTGTGTCTGTGTGTCTGTGTGTGGTGTGTGTGTGTGGCGTGCTTGTGTGGTTTGTTTGCGTGTGCGTGTGCTGCTCTCTCTCATGGAGCGCTCTGCCGCCTCATCTCTTACCTGTGTTGTTCAAAATGTGGGGGAATCCCGAATCGACATCCTCTACAGTGGGACACCATCACAAAAAACACACCACTCTCCGTCATAAGGTTTCAGAACTGATGTTGACAATCCAGTTTACAACTGAAACCAGTTGCAGCAACTTAATCTGGGCGCCGTTGCTGGTTCATAGGGTCGAGCTCAACCTCGGCTCTCGCAAGGCACCGGTTGAACACATCCGGCGTGCTACAAAAGAGATAATCAATTGAATGAAACATCAAGGAGAGATCAAGGACATGTCCGTGCCCTTGTCGCCTTTGGTTGTGGGCTATTTTGCATCCAGCGGCCCTAACCTGCAGCCCTGAGATTGAATCAAGCTGCCGGCCCGAACGATAGACGCATGACGCTGCACACCTCCCACTTGCCACGTCGAATGAGTGCAGTAGGTGTCAGTTGCAAACGCATCGTGCGATGGTCATGTTTGCAAAACCGTCATGTTCTTCTCGAAGCAAGGTTCGGCTGACCCTAACCTGCGATCAGGATCATGAAAGGTCCGATAAACATGTGTGCAGTCGCCTACACAGTTATTCCATGTCATTTGGAAGGGCATGGAAGGGCTGAACTTCCCGAAACCACTGAAACAGCAGATTGCGACCAGCGCCAAAAAAGGCTCCCTACCACCATGCGCAGCCCTTGTCAAGCCTAGAATTCCTGAAAACCCGGCTTCCCACCTGTGATTTGACCACGCATTGTGGTGATATAGCCTACCCTCTTTCAAGCAATCGCGGAAGCAAACAACACGCCTTTTTTCCAAACAACTCATGTGCTTTCCAACACTTTCCCGTCAGCTTCTATGACTCTGGGGATATGGCGCTTTGCCTGCTGTGGGCAGTTGATTTTGAAGGAGAACCCACCCGGGAAAAATAAATACACAACAAACATAACGGAGGATGGAACTCTGATGAACTCTGTGGGCAACAGGGCAATTACATTCTGAGCTGCGCGCGGAAACTTGTTGCCCACCGATGAACTGCCCATTCATCCTGCGAGGTTCAAAGAGCTCAACAGAGACAGCTCCGAGCCCACCAAACGGGGATCCCGCTTCCGGGACTTGAGCGCACTGGAAGTGCCCGGGGACCAAAGTCATCGCAGCTGGTGAATTCACCAAATCATGGATGGTGCTGCTGCTGCTGCTGCTGCTGCTGGTGGTGGTGGTGGTGGTGGTGGTGGTGGTGCTGGTGGAGTGGATGAGTGTGTGCACCTCAGCCCGCGAGTTGGTGGGTGGGCGGGCGGGCGCGGGCGTTTGTCATTTGTGCGTGGGTGGGTGGATGTGTGTTGTGCGTGTGCATGCACGGATCCTTCTGCCGGGGGGGGGGGTTGTGAAGCTTCAGAAATCTTCAGGATTCGTGCAAGAAGTACGCGAAGCGCACTTCCGCAGCTCTACTCGAAAGTAGCAGCACAAATAAGATTGCTTCTTCGCGACAAAAAGGACACTTGCCGTGGCGACTCTAGTGCAATTTTCCTGGAGGTACTCAGCCAATCATCAACGCTGGAGTGCAGAACTCCGTACACGGATCTTTTTGAGCAGATTGCAGATGTCAACTGAAGTGCGATTTCGAAGGGGCACCGGGAAAGGATCGGTCATATCTTGCAACATCTCGGCAATCTGGGGTACACGAAGAAACGGAAACCAGATATTGGCTCAATTGTTCTAAGTACCAGCTAGTCAGGTTCAACATCTTCCATTTGCTTCAGCCCCCTGGAAAATCTAAAATATTTCCAGTACCGATCGATTCCTTTTAAAACCAACAGGGGATCATGAAAAATCGTGTTGACCAAATGGAAGACGTGGTTCACATGTTGTCCATACTTCGTCTGCCCTAAATTCCACGGTAAGCCACGCGGCGGTTCAGAGCGAAGGTGGCCACGCCGAAAGCGCGAAGCCATTAAGTTCTTCAGCTGCCCTATGGCTCTCAATGAGTGAAAGATGTAAATCCAGCCCCATGGGGTCGTGGGGATCTTCTTTTTGCCTAGATAGCCGAGTTTCTCTGTTTTTTCTAGTCACTCCTGGTGTTTGGATTGTTTCCGTGGATGGCAAAAAGCGAAAAAGCAACAAACATCGATCCAGGTGGTTCTTTGCAAAGGGGAGCCCCCCTGAAAAAGGCGAAAAAACGGAGCCCCAGCCCACGTGTGAGCCCCAAGCGCTCAGGTCCCGAGTGCTTGGACCGCATGCTCGAACGCCTGAAAGCGCACCTGCAAAGCTGGCCCAGATGTCCCAAACTTCCGTGTGCTTAAGGTGCTGGGAAGAAAATCCAGTAGCGATAAATGTCCTTTAATTTTTATATAATCTTCGATTTGTTGGAGTCAGTTGGAAAAAAACACATATTTCCAGTAGCAATAAATTCCCTTTAAAACCAACAAGGAACAAACATATACTCTTAAGCAAATGGAAGTACAGATACAGCACAAAGAAACTCACCTAAAACCAGCCCAGATGTTTGAACCACCTAACCAGGCCAGGCTTTTGACAGGCGTATGCCGAAATGGGTGCCGTGAAATGAACGGCGGCAAGTTCTAACAGAGCCTTCAGAACTGAGCCCCAGCCGTTCGCACAAAAAATCTGAGATCTGTCGAGAATTGCCCGCCTTGCTTCTACCCTAGGGCCCTAGGTCCTCCAGAGAGGTTCCAATCAGTTGGTACCAACTGCTCTTTTTTCTGAGTCGTCTATTTTAGGGGGTTCCCCCTCCCCCAAAAAAGAAACGGTGAGAAAGGGCACTGGGGGGCCTAGAAGGATATCTTTACCATGGTGAGCTGGTGTTGCCCCCAGAGCTTGCCATAAATCAGGCAGATGCATGAGAAATCGCCAACTCCCAAGTTCCCAATAGAAAATCCAGGGGTTGCAAAAGCTTGCCTTCGGATGCACAGAACGTCGCGCCGCCGCTTTTCCGCTGCTCCACTCCAATGAGCCGAAGCGAACAGGAATTCTGAGCTCGCCGTTTCAAGGCAGAGACCATGAAAGAATCGGCAACCTTTGTGTCGTTCATTTGAAAGAAAATGGCAACCTTTGCTTGTTTGGTAGAATTTCGCAACGTTTGTTTGGCCTTTGGCAACCTTTGTTCTGTTTGTTTGCTAGTCCCCCTGCGACGAAGCAAACAAAAGAAAGAGGGCAACGGCAATCCACCGGGAAGGAGCAAAAGGTCGGCACCTTAGCCAGTTGGGCGGAGGTGTTTCTGGAAGGAACTGTCATTTTAGGGGTTTCTTCCAAATGTTCTGCCATTTTGGCTGCGTTTTGGGTTGACGCACACCCATTTGTTCCAAAAGGCCGGGGGCGATTCGGTCATGACCAGCCATGCAACATTCGTAGGGCTTCAGTTTTGGCTGGAGTCTTTGGTGGGAAACCAGTTCAAGAAACTGCTTCCTGGATCCGTGCAGATTCGAGGCTGGCTGCAGAAAAAGGCGTGTCGTTTTAAGGAGTGACTCGGCTTGGCATTGAGAAAGCGCGCATCAATGCATGGTACAGCAGGAGGCAGGTGAAACGTGGTACCAAGAAGCGAGGACCCGTGTCCAAGTGATTCACCGGAAACAACGCAGCGTCACATGTCTCTCAGCTCCAGGGTTGCGCAGTTTAACTGTCGCACCATTGGCCACCTTTTCACTTTGACGGCTCGCCCGGCAAATCAAGACAGGGATGTGTCGAAATACGTGGGGCGGGTGGCTTTTGCCCTAGCCAACATCTCTCAACAATAGCCTCCAAAACCAGGGCATGTCAAAATGGTGGGTGGTCTGTTCGCCCCAGCCCTCTTCAAACAAATGGCCACGGCGCAAAAACCACGGCGCCCAGCTCCGTGGCGGAGTCGAAGCAACTCACATGGAGCTGCAGGGTGAATGGCAGCGAGAGCTGCAAGGCGTGCCTGGGAAGTTCCCATGCATCTCTACTCTTGGTACTGTAGCCAAAAACTGACTGTTTTTTGCAGACCCCCAGTAAAAATTAACAGAATCAAAAACCTAAAAAACAAAAAAACATGCCAAGAACAGTGAAGCATGGGTTGTGGATTGGCCCCGAGTCGAAAATCCCAAGGGAAACCCCACTCTTCAACAGTCTCCCCAAAGCAGATTGAGCATTTGCCTTCACAAAACGAGCCGAACCCACTCAAATCCTCCCCGGACATATTAATATGAAGACATATTCCTTCAACGGAACAGGCACTCAAACCGTGTTCCCAGGGTAGAAAGTTGGGTTGGACCTGGCGAGAGCGCTCCAATCATCCCTTCCCCCCCCCCCCCCCCCACAAAAAAAAAAAAAAAAAAAAACAGAAGAGGCAACAACAACCCCTGTCAACAGCCAGTATCCTTAAAAAGACCTCTCCCCTTCTACTTATTGAAGAAACCAGCAAAACCACGAGGGAACTGTAAAACCCACCTGGCTTGGTCATGAGGCTTGGAGCCCAGCAAGAGCAAAACACCACCCTACACCCTTTGGCCTGGGCATTGCTCTCAAAAAAAATGCAACCTCAGAAAAGATTCCTGGTTACCCGGGTCCTTCAAAAAAGATACCTGGTTTCCTCGCACCTTCCCCCAAATGGAACCCGGGGCACGGCTTCCTGCTTCAGACTGGCCCCGAGGCTCCCCGCTGGAGCGTTTGAAGGCACGCTGGGCAGCCGCAAGCCTTGAACCAAGATGGAACCGTCGAAACGACGTGCAAACCCCAAAACCGACTAGAGAAACTCCAAGACCAACAAGCGGAACCTCGAAACCAGAAGGGGATTTCGGACCCCATGCGGCCTCCTTTTGGTTCCCTTTCTATTGCCAACAGAAAAAGAGAGCCTCGAAACCAAGAGAGCGACAATTCAAGCTGAGAAGGAGGGCATTCCCATGCTCCATACAAAGAAAACAAGCATGTACTCCCTTCATGCAGCTTGGCTTCCTTGGTAGGGCCATTTTGACACGAAGAAACAGCCATGAAACTCGGTCGTTCAGCCCCAATTTGGCGCGAAGGGAAATCTGAGCAGTCTGCGAAGTTGCTCCAAAGCTCCCAAGGAAGAAATTGGATGGAAAGCCACCCGATTCTTCCAGTTGAATGTGCCGACCAGGTAATGGTTTCTCCACCACAAGGGGACCTGGTAGAACTTCCCCTCCTCCCCTCCAGCCCCCCCTCCATCCCCCCCCCTGCATCCCCCCTCCATCCCCCCCCTCCATCTCCATCCCCCCCCCCCTCCATCCCTCCATCTCTCCATCCCCAACGAGTTTCCGGCAGCTCATCCTCTTCCTCCACCGTGAAGGCGATCAAGTGCACCTCCTGTAGCCCTGAAGCGCGAGCGCAGCGAGCCGTGGGGGAGGGGGACGGGGGTGGTCCCTGGAGGGGCACCTGGGGTTTGGAGGGGTCCTTGTTTTGAGGGGGAACTCTTGTGGCGGTTTAAAGAGGAAACCAAACAGAAACTTCCTGAAGAAACCCACTTGGGTGTGGCTCTCTTTGTGGGATTCAGGCCCCCGCGCGTTTCAAGCTAGTAAGAAAACCAAAAGGACCCCCTGTAAGCCATTTAATGCCCAACTCCTCCTTTTGGGACAAACCAGCTTTCCAGTTGCCAACATGTGCATGGGTCCCAGTTGCCAACATGTGCATGTGTTGCTCCCATATGTTGTTGAAGCTCCAGTATGCTAAAGCCTGCACTGAGGCACTGAGACAAACACATGTCCAAAGAATGCCATGTATTCCGCAAAATCATCACATGTTTTCGGAACTCGTGGTAACTGCACGTTTTTGGGGGATGAAGGCAATCCATCCGGAGTCACCCATTTTGGGGAATCCCCTTCTTTAAGCCCACATTTAGCGCTGGTTGGCATAGGACACGTCCATCGCAAAGGGCGGTATTGCGCCATACTCAACCTAGATCCCGACAATGGGGTGTGAGTTTTAATGGGTCCCGGAACCTTTGGTGGACATCAGATTTAGGTGGGGGACCAGGTCCACCAATCACTGTTGCGACGGCTCCCTATTAAGCTCATGGCGTTAAATGGACCATGCCCCTGCGAACACCCCCGGGCCTTCGTAGACATGCTCCTTGACAGCCTGGGAGTTGTGCGGGTTGCTCACGGCTATGGCCACTGCATCAACTTCAACCAGGGGGAACAAGCTCCGCAGCGAAAACAACAGCCACGGCCCTGGTGCAGCATGCAGCAGAAGCGCAGTACGAACCCTTCCGCGTGTTTAGGATCCTGCGATCTGCGTCTTCCCAATTCTAAACATATTCATGCAGAATGCATGTCAAATTGCTCATTGTCTTGGACGTGAATTTAATCATGATGCTCAAACTGTGACTGGCATTCGGCAATCCGTTGAGTTGTGGAACGGTGGACTGCAAAACGCAGTCCATTCGTCATTCATCAATCACTTTCGAATCTTTGCAAAAAAAAGGAATCAACTCAGCAGATCGCATGCACATCATCTTTTCCCCAACAGCTGAAAGCATTGGGGTCTCAGCCCAGACAGGCTCCGGGGTGGTCCGGGGCGGCCCTGAGCTAAAGTTCCACGAGGGTTCCACCAGGGTTCCATCCACGAGGTTCTGCGAGCACTAAAAAGAGCACCGCATGCTGTTGGGGATATCACCTGAGCTTATCTTAGACCTGAGCCATCTCCAAAGTTCAATTTTGCAAAGATGAACCTTAGGCTTCGTGTTTCGTTTTCAGGGCCGCCTTCATGCTTCTACCCTAGGTCCTCCAGTAGAGAGGTTAGAATAAGTTGGTACCCATTCTTTTTCTGAATCGTCTATTTTAGTACCCTCCCCCAAAAAAGAAACGGTGAGAATGGGCACTACTGGGGGACCTAGAAGGATATCTTTACCATGGTGAGCTGGTGTTGCCCCCAGAGCTTGCCATAAATTAGGCAGATGCATGAGAAATCGCCAACTCCCAAGTTCCCGGTAGAAAATCAAGGGGTTGCCAGAAGTGCTCCCCTTTCGGAAAAGGCAACACACGGAGAACGGGGTTTTGCCGACACAGTAGCCACGTGGATTCTTGTGTTTTGGCCAAAGCCATTCACTTGCTGAGTGGATGGCCCCAAAAAAGTTCAAACTTTATATTTACCACTAAAATGGTCGTCCTTGGTTCCACGGTTGCGTTTTGGTCGCCTTCATGTTTCGAGCGTTTTGGTTTTCGCCATCAGGTGATGGAGGCTCCGGCCCGGCACGCGATCTCCAGGACGTCGCAGAGCGGACGGTCGCCGCGGAAGATGCCGGCAGACCTTTGCAGTTCAAATG